GGAGAGGAAAGCTCTCTTCGAATGTTCTTTCAATTATATTCTCGCGATATAAAATTAAATTCAAATGGATGAGCAATATAAAAATCATGGAAAGATAAAATAAAGATACGTTAAGTTTTAATTTTTTGGACGAGCTCGGTATGGTACCTTAGCGATCCTGTTTACGATAAGTTTATTCGAGTTACGAATATATTTAGAACGTTCTTGTGTATAATTATGTAATGGAGAGTCTAATTCCGATTAAGTATTTTCTACGTTATATTCTCTCGTGCGTTATTTCCCTGTTGTAACTAATTGCGAATATGAATTACACCTGCGTTCATTGACTACGGTTACACAGACACCTTTAATCGGGTTTAATATTCATAGTTAATAACTGGCTAATCCATTCTTTAGAGGAATAGCTATGATTGGTCAGTTTCATAACTACGATGTTATGTTGTCACTAGCGAAGAAAACGAATCGACTGCATTTAGCTAAAAAAAAATTTTTAGGCTGTGGCGTGGCGGTCGCATTTTTTTAACATGCACGAATCGACAGCGGTAAATAAATTTTCTTCTGTAAACATAAAAGATCAAAAAATACACGTGGTCTAGCCACGTACACATGTACGTAACTGTAGCGTCTCGTGTATTTATCATTGTTCGTATTATCGGCCTGCTGATAATTCTAAATTATCGTTGTAGAATCAATATTGAATTTTTTATAATAATAATAATAAAGAGATGGAAGGCTGAAAAGAAAACGGGGGGGTACGCGTAAAAGTAGCGTAAAACGATTTGTATACGTTTGTAATGCACGAAGTGCATTAAGTGGCCGGAAATCATCTCATTTCTATGATTTCTGGTTTTCTTTTTTTTTTTTACACATGTTTCGTGCATTTTTAAAGTAGAATTATATAAATCAATCCACGCGATGCTGCGCAATACATTAAATAATATAAAGCATAAGGGAAACGTTATGAAATGTTCTCTAAATTAATTAGGTCTGTATTACCGTGGAAAAAAAGAGTAAAAAATATAACGAAATACATGAACACTCATTCTTTTTTTTCCTATTGCGTTTTTGGAAAGAATTTTGCGGAACATACATACACCTACACACATTCACATAAATATATACATCTGTATATTTAGTTTTTTTGAACTGTGCGTGCGAGAACGTGAAAGAGAAAAAGAGAGAGAAAAACATTAGCTATAATCAATATAGGAGAAAGAAATATATAATGGGTGCGAGAAAGGAAAAGAATGAGAGGAAAGAATGAAAGGGAAAAAATGCGAAAGAAGTATGAAGAGGTACAGGAATTCTGTGGGCATCGTATTTTTGCAGAAATTAGAAGAAAGCGCAAATGAATGGAATATGAAAGAGTTAAATTTTACCTGTGAGATTCTCCCTATCTACTTAATCAGAGATTTCATTAAAATAATTATCTAGTAAATGCAAATTATCTTATTTTCAGAGAATAAATTTTACTTTTTTTTTTCTTCTAAAAATCTACGCGAAAAACTTAAGAAAAATTCAGAATACTAATTGCATAAATTTTCCACTTAAAAAGATTCGTGAAGCTAAAAAATTAAAAAGTGACAAATTTATTAGATTGCATTAATTTATTGGACGTGGATTTATTAGACATTGGAATATCTATCCGTGAATAAATTTAGATGTACGCAACTGATTTTTCGCGTGAAATTTCTTGAATCGTTCTAAGTCTTCAAAGTTGAGAAAGCGAACTTCTACACATGTACACAAACTCGAGGATCTCACATGGCATTGACGAAAGAAGGAGTAAGCGTTACAAATATGCAAGGGCTTGGTGCGGCTTTTCAGTTTTCGTCGTACTCGATCGTCATTGTACGTGGATGTAGCAACGTGTCAATAGAAGTTACAAGGCTTGTAAATGTATAAAGGAAAAGCAACAGCACACCGGGAGATACGGTCGCAGCGGATATTATTTTGAGCGGACGGCGGCGAGATGGAGATCGAGAGACATAATTTTTCGACCAGGTTTCTTTGCCGCAGGAATTGTAAATAATTGAATGTGACGCGATATACAAAGGCCCTCCCCCGAGATAAGTGCATATAAATATAGCTTATTACAGATATAGTGTTTGCATTTATTATAAATTCTATGTAAAAGCGTGATGAGAGATTCAAGCGATCGCGACGAGGGCCGCCCATATCTTAGTTAGTGAAACACCGTTTATTCGTATAATCAGTATTAGAAATGTCTTTCTTCCTCAGTTCCAAAGAATCCTGTAAATCACCGCGTATTTTTATTATTATTTAACTCACCAATTTTATTCGATCGATTAATTTTTTTTTTTTTTTTTTTTTTTTTTTTATAAATAGTGTATGATATAAACCGTATTATTACGATAGATATCCTTATTGTGCTTTGTGCTGAGCCCTTTACCGCATTGATAATACCGATATTGATCGCGGCCCTGCGAGATTGCTTCGGTTAGAAAAGTGCTTGTACTTGTATAAAAGTAGGAAAATATATTGCATAGTTTAAACTAATATGGTTTATAGCATGTAGAAAAAAACTTGAAGTATATACACGAGCGGGACGACGAAAACTGATGAGCTCACTTATTTACCATTTAGCTTCGTTATCTCGCAAGCCCTATAAGTTCTTAAAAGGAAATGGGAAGACAATATTTCTCGCGCTACGAATGAAGCGGCGAGGATCGAGTATGATTTCAATCACCTGAAATATATCGGCCCAAATATTTAGCCAAACGATCTCACGATTTCTCGTCGCTTCGCCGAGGTCGATATAGAGCTTCTCATATCCAACAAGACTCGACAAGACTCAAATTGCGTAGCAAAGAGGGTTGTTTCGCACTGCCAAATAATAATAAAGGAAAAGACAACTTGCGTTCATTGTGTGGATCGACCGATCGTTAAAGCACCGCCGGTGTTCATTAATCCACATAGTTGTTCTACGAAAATGAAAAAAAAAAAAAAAAGGAAAAATTCGGAATAAAAGCTAGCAAAGAAGCGAAGAGCTTTTCCCGAAGTCCGAGCGAATAAGAGACGAATAAGAGAGAAATATCCGAACGTCAAACAGTGCTTTGTCTTTTTTGGATATTTTCATGTACAAACACGAATGACAGTTTATAGCTCAAGAACAGAACATTAAAGAGATAGATATTGTAAGAGAATAATAATAATTTCACGGTTGCGATATCGTATTCTTGTTGTGTCTCTTTTCTTACCATTCCCGAAAATAATGACAGATTCCTAATCTTCAGTCAAGTCGAATAATCTTCTTACTCTTGTTTCGACCCATCAAATCTAATTCGATATTTAATCGCTAAAATTATGAATCGAAAATTTTTTTATAACCCAAATATAAAAGTAAATAAGTTACAAGATTCCGATTAAAAATAAAATGATGTAAATATTTTGACACATGTCGGAATATGGAAAGTTTATCGCGACATTATACAAACTAACAGTAACATTACATCACAGTGTTACAATTTCCCATACAACAATATA